TTTCTAGAGCACTTAAGACGTAATTTTATTTGTTACTTCCTGAAATAAACGCAAATTTGACGGCCAGTTTATTTAAAAGTTCAATAAAAGGAAGTATACAAAAGGCAAGAGAAGAATGCAGATTTTCTGCATTCTCTGGAATAAGTCTCTAAACTACCCTTTCCTTAAATAATGATTAATTTACCAACAGAATCCACGATAATTGCTGAAAGACTACTGTGATATGTATAATGCGTTCAAGATTAAAGGTCAGTGTGCAACGGTATCTATACTAAATCCCCACTATTGGGTGCCGTTTTGCAAAGGACCCTTCGTTTGGGTAAAACTGGAAATTCCAACAGGAAAACTGTATTACTGGAAATTTACTCAAATGCCGTCGACTAATCCTTATGGTTTTCTAATAAACATTACTCCCCTTTTACTTCCCCTGCTTACGTTAGAGATCTCCTTCTTTTATCTGAAAATTGCTACAAATAGGTTTTTTGCTTCCTTACTGACCAGCAAAATAATAACACCAACATGCCAAATTACTACGAACTTATAAATTAAGATGGACTGCTAATCAAACAGTTACATAGAGGTAGAAATGGCCCTAGTATGGGCGCGGCCATGATGTGCACGTTTTAGTTATTTTCTAGGGGAATTTTCCTAGTGCTCAAGTTTTGAGACTATTGCAGCCTTGGAAAATGACGTGTCACAGTAATTTATTTAGAAAACGTGAGGTTAATGCTTGTTTATTAGTTGATTTGAATTTCGCGCCAAGTGAGTGCACATCATGGCTGTCCCCATGGAGGTGTCATTTGTCAATTCAGCATTGGCAGTCCACCTTTTCGTGCAAATTACATTAAGAAAAATTGGAAAATGTTTAAGAATGCACCTCCCTTTTTACATTAATACTTCGTCGGTTAAAAATCTACCCGTCACAATTTCGGTTAATTAAAACTTACTTTGAAATGGCCATCTCATTTCTTACCGCTAGATTACTTAATAATTTGCACTGGATTCGTGGTTAATTTACATAAGTACCTTTGCAGTTTAATCACACATTAATTTTGATTTTACTGTTACAAATTATTTAATACATGACCGTTGAACTTGGTTTCATTTACACTGCTGTCGATGCAATATCCTTGATTGCGACAAAACAAATTTAATTAGTAATGACACCAAATTAATGAGATCATTTGGATTATAACACACATTAAAAGACAAAATTTTACCATTTTTGTTCGACTCCATTAAGATCTCTGGTTTAAAATGTTACTAGTACGATTACAACAAATCAATATTTACTTTTGAAAACGGATCTTAAAGTTATCGAATAAATTTGACAAAATGCATAAATTCGACTAACCATTTTATTTACAATTTTTTTCTTCGACGTGGAAAATCTGGAATTCTTACGGCTATTTTTTTTTCGCCAAGCGAGTAGGTATCAGATGTTTCTAAAGGGTAACATACTTAAACCCGCCGGCTTAAACAAATCTCTCGGCGACGACTCTTTGGATTGTGCTTTGCTGATTGATTGAAGAATGCAGTGTTGTTCTCGATGTTGAATTATTTGCTAGTTAATGAGATTTGATTCTAGAAGTGTGTTTTACTAGCACAATTTTTTCCAAGTTGCGCTTAACTTGATAATAACTTAATACGACCGATTCCTAGCGTGTAATTCAAAACCAAAGCCATACAATGTACAGACACAATTTAGAAGAACTAATTCATTGTCGAACGTGTAAGAAGATTACTACTACTATTACAATCGACAATCTAAAACTTGTCCCAAGTAATATTTGTTTGATGAAATGTTCTTGAAACACTCTTTTTTGAACGTGGAAATTTTCTTACGCATAATTCAAAAGGACAAAATCGCAAAAATGTTACGCATATAAATGCTTTCGTTATAAGAGATACGAAAACTTTGAGAAATATAATTTTCTGACATTCCTAACTATCCGATAGCATGTTGATACTTTAGGTATCACTTCCGGTTTAACCGGAAATCGATGCAAATTTTGTTTTTCAAATGCAATGCCTATGTTTGAAACGTGCACGTTATCTACTAAAAAATGTTATTTTTCGATATTTAGTTTGGGCAAAATCAGATAACTTACACGTTAAGTTTAACGTTAGTGTTACATGATAGGGTTGATTTGATTGTTTTAAATTGAATCAAATTCACAGGCATCTTTTTGCATGTTTCCACTTTCGGAACGTTTACAATAATACAAGAGCGAAATAGGTTATTGATTGGACAGTAAAACTAGTGAAACTCTGTGTGAATTCAGCAGATTGCAGTCGTAATATAATCGCTATTGGACTGTGAGAACTGACTGCAACGCTAACCAGGAAAACCAAATTTATTCATCCCCATGCCAGACGATCGCACGGATAGATTTTCACATGCCACCAAATTCTACCGAACTGTAAAGACAAAATTTTCTCGAAGAGCTTTTAAGTGGAGAATATAAAGTCCATTAATATTTTATGACGCCGCGAAATTCGTGTAAAAGTTTGATGTTACTGAGTGAATAGATACCAATTACACTTGAATTTTATACGTCGACGGAATATTTAATTGCGCTGAAATGGAATTTGTATTTCGTCTAATTCCATTCTACTAACTCAGCAGGCGTAGGAGTTTTAAAAGTCTGGTGAATTACAATCAATTTCGTGCGTTTTCAAGAAACTTTCCAGTAGTGGTTTTCGCGGAAATAAGTTTTGATGTAATGGTCTGATTTCTACAAAATGTATGTTTTTATTACCTCCCTACCAAGATTTGATAACGTTTTACTACGTGCACTAAAAATAAACCTTTAGTTACTAAATCAAAATGTTATTTATGTTCAATTCAACAGTTGAGATCTTATACGTTTCCGATAAATCTTAGTATGGTTAATGTAAAAGTATTCTATGATGACTATTAAATAACAGGGCTGACGCTATAAAACGGTTTTATTGTAAAAATTATGAAGCACAAATGTTAGGACGTTATTCGAAGCTAAAATAATCAAATTTATTGGTTTTTGAATATCGCGAAATACACACCTCTCTCCAAATCAAATAGTAGTCTTTTTAGATTATAAGATTGAAATTAATTTTTTGTCAATGAAAAAATAACTGAGTTAAAGTACAAGTCCTACTGTTTAACATATCAAACAATTAATCTCTCAATTGAGTGAATTAACTTTCACGAGATGGTTAGTTTTCCTTTATTGTCGTTTATAGCAGAAGTCATATAAATCATTGTAAATCTTCTGACAATTCAGAATTTAATTTAGAGACGTCAAAAATAGCAAGCCGAGGTTCTGCCGTCGCGATCATTTCCATAGAAACAGACTTGTTATATGCTCCTGAACGTCATTTTATGTCGTGTATTTGAATTTGAAATAAGAGTGACAGATGTGAATGCACACTCATCTGTTTCACTTTATCTACCCTACGGTTAGCCCCAGTTGCACCAACAAAATTAAGCCTTGCTTAAAGTTAAGTCGAACTTATGCTTTACTTTAAGGGATACTTAATTTTGACGGTGCAATTGGCCCTAATAAAAGTGATCACTTTATCTATCCTTACGGTTAAAGAACGGCTTATCCTACTCATTCAAACATGTTAAAATGTCAATTTAAGATATGCTATAAAATAAAGTTATTAAAAACGATTGATTACTATATGGAATAAATTGAAATGAGCGGTTAGTTAGAGTTCTATCCACATATTTTAAATTAACAATTCATTTTCATGGAAATAGCTAAGTAACGATGAAAATTAATCGATAATTTATAATGCGTTGATCGAACACGCCCATTTAAATGTATGCATCGGCTAACGCTTTGGGGTATTCGGTGTTGGAAAAATATAACGACTTCAGAACATAAGTTCCCACATCAAATTGAAAGACAATTAATTTATCTACAGATGTTTCTTGATTACTCGAAGGCCTGTGATACCATCCTTTAGAATCTTCTGTTTTCAGTATAACATTATAAGCACCTCGCTGCATTTTGTAGCAATAATCGTTCACGGATTATTAGAGTATCAATAAACCACAGGGCCACTATTGTTTGCAATTATCGTTGCAGTCAGGGTTGCAGTATTATAAGTATCGTTTTTGTGCTATCAACACTAAATTACAATTTCATTTTAAACCTGAAAATATTGGAATCGGCACAAAATATAAATGTAAAATTTGAGGTTAAACATAAACAAAGGTTATTACATTGTGAATGAGGTGCGACTTATCTTATTTTTTTTAAATTTCAGTTCTTTGCATTATCATGCAACAGGTTAAAAGTAAACAAGATTCACAAAAAAATATAATTCAAAAAACAAAATTAAGATTACCGTGCAAAAAATGTGGTGAATTCAACAATGCAATTACCTGCCTATCAATAATTTCTGGAAAACAAAAATGATTCACGTTCATGTTACGTTTATAACGTGAAAACAACGTTTACAAAAAATAGGTAAAATATGCCAGCTAATCAGGTCGGCGCAATGGTCGTAGGTAAGTACATATAATTTATCTGTAATCAAAAGACCACTTAAACATTCCACCAAAAGAATCAAACTCATGCATTTACTCAAACACAAAGATCTTTATTCAAAATTTAAAAAAAAGTTTTCGTTGGCACGTAGTGAACAGAGATAATAATTAAATTCATATAAATGAAACTTACAACACACAGCTTTTATGTCAATATGGCCATATTCTTACAAGTAGCGCTGCAGATTTAGAAGGTAAGTAATTGGTTTGAACACATCAATTACCAATGGACAAGTAGCTACTCTCTAGTTACGTTAAATTAATAAATATACCAACATCAACTGTTAAACAACAAAAGAACAAATTTATTTTAGCTACCAACTTTTTACCCAAAGCTGTGCTTGTCCACGGTTTAAACAAAGATAACAAATTTGTATGAAAATAAATCAAAATCAAATCCAAAACTACATACCAACTGATTTGTGTATTGTTATAAATTGAACTTCGAATTTTCCAGATTGAATGGCGGTAGGATTATCCACAGAGGTTTTTTCACGGAAGGTTACTCCCAACAAATGAACGATTGCCTCGGCGCCTTTTGACAACAACCCAAAAAAACGTCGAACCCCAAACGTGGTAAGTATTTCTTCTGCACAGCAGCTTCGCTTTATATTTAGAACTTGATCCAAAACCAAATTTTCAGGAAAACATAAACCATATAAACCCAAAAATAAAATGGACTTGGCAACAAATCCCTTTTCAAAAAACCGTCTAATCGAACTCAAATTTCAAAAAACAACTCTTGGTAGGTACGGTACTACTTTTGACAAGATTATATTTGCAGTTTGCCATAAATTAGCAACAAATTCTACGGCGTAATTCGTTTCACCGCAGCCGTCTTTTCGCTTTCGTAGCTATCAAGGAAGTATTGGTGCTTATCTATTGGAAATTTTGAGTTCCTTCAAGGATTTATAGTGGTATAAAATTGAATAAACGAGAAAGTTACACTGTTAAAATGTATTTATTTTACACTGTGAACATAAATTTGTTACACGTTTTCAATTGGTCCTTTTTCCTACCCTTAAAATGAGGGTGTGCTATCCTGCGATAAGAATTTTGCTAACATTGTTTCAAAATTGCAAACTGCATACCCAAACACGTCGGAAAATCGTTAGCCTTATTCGAAAATCGAATCGTTACAGTACCTTAGGAACTTTCACAATCTTTAAAATCGCCAGAACTTTGAGAATTATTGGAAACCTTGGAATCGTCATAGTTACCTCCAAATTGACCAAGGTATTGGAACCATGAAAGATTGAACATATGTTTCTACTTGACAACGACAAGTGTCACAAACGGCGACCAATTGTGTCAAACTGTGTGTACCCTTTTAACAGTGCTCATCAATTATTACTTTATTATTATTATATTATTTTATTTGTGAAGAACTGAACATTGATTCACTATTTTAAGCATTAGAAATTGAATAACATTTACACATATTATGTTATTATTGATTGTGAATTGCTAAAGTGAGTGGATTTTATATACTTAGGGACGCGATATCAGAATATAACAAACAGTAAACTATAATTAATCTAATGCTAAATGTTCGGGACTTCTTGGCAATTCTGCAGGTTTATCTCAGCATCCTCAAGCAATGCCTCAGTGGAATGCACTCGTTAGTAAGTTCGTCTAATATTAATCCCTCCTTACAAACACAACCAGGATATGAAGTTTGATTTTCATGACTTTGATAGTTACATTGGGGGTATAACATATTTTGGCAGGTGACCCTGTTTGATGGTAGATGTCTACACCATGTCTTCCTCGGTGGGCACACTAGAAGGCATATTTAAGCTAAAGGCAAATCATTTCGAGAGGTTTACCTGAAGAGCACTCCGATGGTAGAACGCAATGCCCTTGATGGTGATCCATCAGATACCCTGGCAAACAAGCGCATCCAGGGATGCACACAGCTGGACAAGGGAAAGGGCTCGGCCCTTGGCACGTTGGTTCGCAACCGTTCGTACAGGAAGACATATTTGCGTTTATACCACATCCTGAAAAATACACACACTAGTTAGGTACTACTTAATTTTGTAAAGACTGCAACCTGAGCAGTGATCTTCTGGGACGCATTCCTGTAGAATTTCATCCCAAATATATCCCGCACGACACACACATCCAGGGAAACAATCCGAGCACACCTTTTCGTTTGTATTTTGGCAAGTCCTCTTGCATTCGGGATTTGCACAACTACCCCATTCTTCGTTTTCAAGGCAAACGTCTAAAGCATGACGTGTTGTGTAAGAAGTATAAAAGTAGTGTCACAAGCAAACCTTTTCCACAATCGCAAGCTGGAATACATTCCGTTTCGTTGCTGTTCCATACGTAACCCGAATCGCAAGTACACCCAGACATACACATTTGTGGACACGGAACGTCTTGTCCGAAGTTAGCACATGTTCGTCTGCATTGAATGTCGCTGCATTGGGACCAGTGTTGGTTAAGCCCGCATTCTGCAAATAATCCGCTTATTTTTGTTCAAACGGACCAGCAGATCTTATTACCAAAGGAACAATCTTCAACTGGAATGCATTCGGTGTCGTTCTGGTTCCAAACAAAGCCGTGCATGCACGAGCAACCCTCAACGCAAACCCTAGGACAACCGATTGGACCGTTGATGTTCTCGCATGTTCTTTTGCAGAATTTGTCACTGCACTGTTCCCAGAATTGGTTGTGCCCGCACACTGTAATTAACAATTAGCTACAACTCCCATTGCACCCTTTATATTCGTACCTTTTGGCGGTTGCGTGGTAGTGGTTGACGCTGGGGTAGGAGTGGTTGAAGCTGGGGTGGGAGTAGTCCCCACTGGGGTGGCAGTGGTCGGTACTGGGGTGGTGGTGGGTGGTATTAGGGTGCTGGGACACTGCTCAACAGGAATGCAGCTAGTTTTTTCATCCGTCCAAACAAATCCTTCACGACATGAACAACCCTCAATACAGCTTGGGGCACACGTCATGTAGAAAATCAAATTGATGCAAGTCCGCTTGCAATGATTATCACTGCACTTCTCCCACACTTGATCGGGCCCACACTCTACAAGAACGCGACTTAGCATTTGAATACTGGCGTTTGGGATTATTACTAGGGCATTCCTCGACGGAAATGCAGTGAGACCGTGTGCTATCCCAAACAAATCCAGGTTGGCATGAACATCCAGGAATACATTCAGAATCGCAAACTAGATGTTCGTCTTTATTGCTACAAGTTCGTTGGCAGTTATTATCACTACAACTGCTCCATACTTGATTCGATCCACATTCTTCAAGAATTATTGTAAGTTTGTTAACGTCGCATTATTTTACATACGTGGTGGACACTCGAATTTAGAAATGCATTTTGACAATTGCTCGTCCCAAACGTACCCCTCTTTGCAGGAACATCCTGGAATGCAAACTGCGGGGCATATATTCGGGCTATCTATGTTATTACAAGTCCTTCTACATGAATTATCACTGCATTCTTGCCAGGTTTGGTTTCTTGAGCAATCTAAAATAATTAATTGTTACGGTAATATGGTCGTTGTTTTTTATTTCCAGTATACTCGTTGAAGTGAAGGTTTTTTGTTCATTTATCCCAGGTGATTACGTATCGATTGATCATTGAAAATAAATAGGCATCTAACAATTCCAAAGTCTAATAGGGATAGTTACATTTTCTGCTTTTTGTGGGTTTCGCACCACTACTATAGTCTATAAAAAATTAAATATGCAATTCTCCTCTAAGCTCAATGATAAATTTGGAAAAAAATGGCGGACATGAACATATGGCCACACTGTCTCTAGACTCACTGTAGTTTGAGGTTACTGTAGCGCCACAAGTGATAAATATATGAAGCTGAAGTTTTATGTATTTCATAGATGCTCTCCTGCAGATATATAAAACATAACTTCCTACACAATGTGTAGAAACGGTTTACGCACCATAGGGATTTAAATGTCAATTTCTTTATATCGAAATATTTTCTCCCCTAATTATTTTACAGCAAAGTTGTAAATGCATTTTGTGTTGCGTCTATTCATGTGCCCATTTGTAATTTTTTGTTGTGGGAAATCGGAGAAATTAAGGACAATTATGATTATAAATCTAATTTTTATTTCAATAATTTCACGGCACGAGTGATTTAAATATTTAAATAAATAAGGGACATGATCAGACGCAGAGTTGTTCAAGCTACAAGAAACCTATTTACAACTTTACTCTAAATTAATTAAGGGAGAAGATATTTCGATATAAAGAAATTCCCTATGGTGCGTAAACCGTTTCTGCACGCTGTATGTTTAAAACTTTTAATGCATATATCTAAAAGTTGTTGAATATATTTATGTACATTTCTGCTCGTTGAGTGCACAATAAACCAGAAGGGTAGTCATAATTAGCTTTACAAGTAGTGATTGTACTTGAAAATGGCAAATCAAATCAATAACTAATCAATCTTTCGCTTGGGCATACGTGAGCATTTTTTTTCGACTTCAATTCCTTCCCATTTCTATCAAAAAATATGTATACATAATAATTGTAATAAATATACCTAATAAGTAATAATCATATTCAAAGACAGCTCGATATGCAAATTTTATGAACTTTCTTAGCTACCATTTTTGTTCTCCGGCCAACGATTTTAATTGCAATTTCTACGGATTCGCTATTTTAATGTTAAAAATTACTCAGATAACCAATTTCATGCATTTACCAAAAAAATGCATACCGAAAACCTAGGTAAAATCGGCAATTGCGTCCCCTTGAGAGTTACTTTTGCAGATAATCAAATTTCAAAGGAACAAATTAAAACCCTCGGTTTGGTCCCTGTTAAAATAAAATTGTAGTGAGCTACTATAACATTAGAGTATAATTTGGCCCTTTAAACAATCGAAATCATTGTAACGACGTTAAATGAAGTGGTAGAGAAATTATGGTATTATCGAGTAGCACAATTTGAAAAGCGTTTTCAATTACCGTTCTTGCAATCCCGAATAGGGATGCATTTTCCATCAATCTTCTCTCGTATGTATTCTGGCTTACAGGCACATCCAGTTTTGCACTCATAATCACACGTTGGTACCCTATCTTTGCATGTTGGAGGGCATGGAGTTGAACAGTTGGTCAAGATTTCATTTCCCTTGCATTCAAACTCTGAAAGTAGTTATAAGGTTAACTTGAAGTTCCTTGTCACATGAATTCCGTTACCTTCATGGCTGTTTTCATGGCTATCAACAGCATCATCTGATTGTACTGCAATAGCAGAAACTGCTATAAGTAACAGGATCAACTTTGCGCTGGCCATTTCTGCACTTTCTGAATCTTGTAACATCTGGTACGTACATTTAAATACCTCGTCATGTGTCTGACGTAACAGATACAGGTAAGCTTGTATTCGTGTTTAAATTTGCTATTGTGATTACCGTACCTTGTAATTATTTGTTTTCTTCATAAACTAAATATGTGTAGGTACTTTTTATCGCTTTCGCTATAGTAACCATTTGTTATTTGAGTGGGTACCTATATTTTTCTTTAGACGCATGGTCCTTGGAGGCTTGACTGAGGTAAAAACTTTTTCTAAGTAGTAGTGTCATTTTCGGGAAAGGGCTCTAACTTTGTAAAACAATTGCACATGTATATAAGGTTATTATTTGCACTATGTCGTTATGTGCTTTGCACCACTTGCGATTTGCGCTTCCAGATGATAATCACAACAAATATTTACCCTCTGTTATTTATAACACTATTTGTGACATTTCTTTAAGAGTTTCGTAATTGTAAGTTGTACAAGATTGTGCTTTTTATTTTTAACCATTACGAAATACCGCTTAAAGGTTTTGCTTTAGAAGAATAATTTATTTGTTAGCAGTTAGTTACGTCAGTGTAGCTAAATTTTATGAAACGATCATAGTATTAATTTAAAAAAAAAAGCAAATGGAACGCTGCCAAAGACCTTTATTGTGGCTTTTACCTGCCCAGCAAATGTGTAATAAAGCTTGTTGATGAATAGCTCCATATTAATTAGTGTGTGGCCTAATAGTTGACGAAAGTATTACACTAATTTTTTTATTGAAAATGTTAGTTGGTCGCTATCGATTTCGGACTTCCTCGTCCATCATCAGGCGATACGTCAGGATGGTTAACGAATCATGAAAATGTAGTGAAGAATGTTGGACGTTATATCTGAATATTATTTTTGAAAATCTGTAAAAATTGTGAAGAATGAAAGACGTGTATGGTGAAGTGACCTCACCTCACTTCACCATACATGCCTTTCATGTCAACTATTTAGTGTAATAAAGCATTTTGCGCAGAAGTGTTTCAATAGGATCTGGTTCGGACACGTTAAACAGAACTGTTATTTCTTTGAGCTCCAGTATCTAAACCAGCACCACAATTTCTTCTTTAAAAAAATTTCTGAAAACCAATATTGGTGTTCTGTTTTGGTTTTTTCTTTGATCCTGAGACTTATATCAACATTTCAGATTGCGTTTTGAATGAATTGTGAAACTCAAGACGAAGAACCAAATTCATCTGCCACGGAGATATTAAAAAAAAATTTGGAATCTCTGCACATTTAATTCAGAATGTCAATTTTTGAGAAAATTGAGAAAGATGGTCACTTTAATTGAAATGTTTAAATTAAAATAATTTGTGATAACAATATTTTCTTAAGAAATGAATTGAGACATAGTTTTCCACACAAACTCCAATTCAATTTGAAGTTTCACACTAAACAGTGCCAGTGAATAGGGGGTTACCTTACAAACGGTTCTAAATTTTTGATATGTTGTCTAGGATTTTGAAAAAACCGAAAAAATCGGCACTTTCTTCAGATTTTCGCATATATTTTCGTTTCGTTTTGGCTATACTGGTCTGGCCGAAACACTGTAATAGTGTTTGTGTCCTTATGGTCGTTAGCAGTTAGAGCTGTGAATTATATTAACGAGAAAATAGTGAAATATGCGCATATATATGTAGAAAATTAGTTCAAAATATTCAAACAGTTTTAATGTATATCCAAAGTTCCAAACATATGCAAAATTATATCTTGCATAATTTCTAAGAAAGAAGAATTACGATAAACACCAGCAATAAGATGTTTCTCTAAATTTTCTGCTCCTGTCGCTAAGAACTAATTTATAAGCACTAAGCAGAGAAACTTCTTTCTACATAATCAGAAGTAATATGTGCATTAGAAAGGGCCGACAAAATATTGGGAGCTATTTTCATACCTTCCACAATATCACTGTAGAGAAAGAGAAAGAGAAAATAGTTTGGAAATGAAGAAATTAAACATCAATTAAATCAATAAATCTTTCTTACTTCCCGTTATTGCAGTACTCGTATGTCTGTTATGAAAATCTGCAAAAATGTATTAAAAATTCCAATCACAATCGATTAAAACTAGCAAAAATTAAAATACATCTTAAATGTGCACATTTATAATACAAATGCAAAGAATATCAGGTTTAATTGCTTCAAAATGTTGCAAATCGAAAATGTACAAAATCTCATACGAGTACTCAGTACAACCAAAAATAAAAGATATGCATTTGGCATATCACAGCTTTAGTCGTCACTCTCAAAGAAACGACGATTTGTTTCAAAAATACAATATACTGGATCGGAGATATCCATGGTGTGATGTGACTCAAAATGGGGTTGTGTATATTAGATTCCAACAAAACACAAAACCTTGCCCATACTAATTTTAATAAACATGGCGTCTTCCGCCTACGCCCGACATTTCATTTAATGTTATAAGTCAATTATTTTACATTATGTGACCAAGATTACATTAAATTATGGAATTTTTTAATGTTATTGTTTAATTGTCAACGTTTTTTCCCCCATGCTGTCTTATAAATTTTGCATTGTGTTCGTCTAAATGTCTTAAAAAGTTTAATTCTGTAATCTCCTTAAGCCAGAAGATGACCTTTGGTCGAAACTAGTTGCTGCTTCCTTAATTTGTTTATTAAAATTGGTATGGGGAAGGTTTTGTTGGTATCTAATACTGACTAAGTACAATGAAACCCCCTGATCGCAAAGGGGAGAGACTGAGAGTAGTAACAGCAGCAGCAGGCATAATTTTAAAAGAGTGGTGTCCAATATCACTGAATATCCCCCCACTGACAAATTTTTAAAACGATATTGAAACAGTAATTCCAAAAACTTTGCTCGTTGACCAATCGTTGTAACAAAGAGCAAGAAAGTTGGATAAATTTCCGGAAAATGCGATTTTTTATTTTTTTAAATGCATATCGCCGTAACTATTAGTCCTAGAAACAAAATAAAGATATAAGCAAAAATCTGAAGAAAGTGCCGATTTTTTTCTATTTTTTCAATATGGCGGCGCGTGCGAAGGTAGAGGAATTATGCATTTTGAATTTTAAACATTTACTAACCATCCTAGATAACACATGTAGACTCTTTCGAAAGTACTTCAGAAGTTCAAGTCAAGCTCTTCAGAAAGTCAGAGAAGAGTGTTACCTTCCCCGATCGCAAAATTGTTCGCTTAGTTTTGGTGCCATCAATAAGCATAACATCTACGAGAAGACGTTTTCGTTTGTTTTTTTCAAGTTAACGTTAAAATATAGGGTTATCTTTAGGGACCTTTGGGGGATTTGTTTTTCATTCTGGAAAGTGTATTCAAATTTTCCTTTCTCTCCCTTGTATAAATATTTTTATTTTCCTTGTTTACTTGTCCTTTTCACTCCTTTAGTTGCTTTTCACTGCGTTTAATTTCATGCACCTTTTGTCGTATATCCAGCTACCTACGTTGTGTATAGATGTAGGTATAGTTTTCCTTGTAGTGGCCTCTAGTGTCTATACTTTATTGCATTTTTGCATTTTCTACTTAGGTAGTACCTGCTACTTTTTTATTTTCTCCCAAATGTTTGACCTTGCCGATAAATAGTCTATTTTGCTGAGTTTATCTTAATAATAACATTTAAAATTGAAACATATCCGTATCTAGACTCCACGAGTAATTTTTCAATTTGATTGTAATTTCAGAAAATAATTATTTGTACAACTAGAGAAGAAAGGGGAGCTTTTCAACTCGAGTTCAGCGAGTGTGTCAATTGGACGAGAGTTGAAAAACACTTTCTTCTCAAGTTTTACACATAATTTTTTCTGAAACTACAATCAAAATAAAATAAATTATCGTATGCAATAATGAAGTTTGACACTTAGCAATCTAGATACGGGCATGTTTCAATTTTAAATGTCATTATTAAGATTAACGTAGCAATTGTTTTTTACTTTCTTCACTAGAGAGGAAAGTCGCATTTTCTTCACCCTTTTTAGAGATGAACGTAGTTATTTCTAAAGTAGTTTCAGGAAAAATTATGTGTAAAACTTGAGAAGAAAGTGGAGTTTTTCAACTCTCGTTTAATTGGAACACGCTCGCGTGTCGAACACTGAACTAGAGTTGAAAAACTTCACTTTCTTCTCAAGTAACTATTTCATCAATCATCAGTGGCGCTTATGGTTACAGTATTTCATAAGCCATAGCCGGATGTGCAAAATCTACATACCGGGTGAATAGTCCCAAATCGAACATAGAGAATTAACATGAGAAAAAGGTTTTTATTTTTCATTTGCCTATTATATGTCAATTATATCTGTCATATGTGATATATACAGCAGTCTATTACGCCCAAGGGCATAATGAGAGGGCATAATGGATTGTCATCTCATTATGCCCTCAAACGGCCTGTCAAATTGATTGACGGAGTTATATTATGTAATAAAAAAGATGCAACTTGATTCGTATGAAGCATTTTAATGTTGGGCAAACAATAATCATGACATTTGTATATTGGAAATGCATTCTTTGGAACAATGAAAAATAAAATGTTGTATGCACCTCAGGCATTACTCAATATTTAACCCTCGGGCGACTTACAATCCCTCGGGCCGGAGGCCCTCGGGCTCTGTCGGCCTTGGCATATATATCGCCTTAATGCCCTTGATGCATAAATAACTATTTGTAGATAGTTGCTCCCCATGTTAACTTAGAGGGTTTATAATGACACTAACCGAAAGAAGATTTTTTCCTCGTCTCACTATTTTATCAAAAATTTGGCAATAAATCCACTTACCAAAATCACGTTAAGCCATGACTAGTAAGACAAAAATCAGATTCAAAGTCGAAATTAATATCAGTTTATGACAGCTGGCGTTAATTTTTTTGTAAAATGCAGTTCACTGAGGAAAAAGTATTGTTATAAATAAACAACGTTTACAGCGGAAATATTTACTCTAGTACGCGATATTTGTTTTTCGTGAAAACCTATTTCAATTCTTTAGGAAAATTCCATGGCTTAACATGATTTTGCTAATTAGATTTAATGCCGAATTTTTGATAAAATAATGAGAAATACACC